AATCAGAAGGGTGTTTGTTTAGCAGGTTGGCTGCGTGTACAAAATTTCACTCCTCCGCAAACATTAAGTTTTAATCATACAGCACAAGGCTAAATAACTTAAGGCAATACAGAGATAACAACAATTATATAAAACAACAAATATTTATATAGAAATCATACAAATTATCAAGACAAACTTGCTCAGAATATTTAGCTGAGCTATGTTGATTTTTAAGAGCAATATTGTTAATTTGGAAAATTAAATTGCTTTTTAGAATGTTCCTTTAAGGGTGTGTGTTTAATAATACAAAATATACAATGAATAAAACAAGAGTTATTCACCCTTAACTATTTAACTGTTTTAAGAACTTTTTTTGAAAGAAAGTATATTTATCTGGTTTCACAGTAAAAAAAAAAAAAAGATTTTATTTTTACAAGAGATATTCTTTGTGAAATAGTTGAAAGTTTTGTGTGCCAAGAATACTATGAAAATTTGTTTGGTAAAAAGGAACTTTAAATCGTCACTTAATATTTGAAGAAGTTTCTGTTTTAGTCTAAAAAATGAAGTTTAGTTTTGTGCACTTATGAAATAAAACTTGCCGCTTGACAAAAATGTTCACCAAAAGGATAAATTGAAGGATAGTTGAATAGAATTGAGTGAGAAAGTTTCTTTGAAGTAAATCCTGAAAATATGTTCGGTATAAACTTGTAGCTTCAGAAAGTTTTTTAAAGTGTTTTCCTTGCTGGTGAAAAATTGAAAAAAAAAAAAATGGAAAATTCAAGTCAAATTTTTACTAGCGTGGCAGCGATGTGTCTTGTTTAACTTTTGAAATGGTCTCACTGATGGAATACGTTCGCACTCCCTATTTATTTAGTTTTCGGTCACATGACCGGCTCCAGACTGCCGTTCAAAAATATTGGCGGTAAAACCTTATTGCGTGGGCGTCATTTGTATTTTAAATCAATCAGCAAACAGAAAAATAGCAAGGTCTGTGTGATGCACTTTTTTGAACAAAAGTTTTCATTTTTAAGAAGACATAAATGCATTGCAGTATTTTTTCAACCAATAAGATTTGTCGAGAAAAAAATTCAAAAACTGAAGTAGAACGCTAAATCATCATAGAATAAAAATAAAAAATAAATCAACAATGTTTTGGTGGCAATTTTTAAAATCAACTTGAGATTTTTCTTATTAAAAAGTTGAATAATTTTAACACATTCAACAACATTATGGATAAAAAAAATAGTCAATTTGTTTTCGAGACTTTTACCATGAGCAAAACAAATTCACAGATTTGGTTTTTTAAAAAAAACGACTCCAGAATGATGTCAAAACCCGTGAAAATCTTTCATGAGTCAGTTATGCTTACTTTTTGTAACGTGTAGTTAGAAAAAAGCAAATACTGATACAATAGCGAGGGTCATAAAGTACTTCCCTGGGCTCACAATCAGGCTTCCTTTCCCCTGGTCGGGGTGGGGTAACGCACCGGCCCTATCCGTCTGTATAGTTTAAGAAGTTAATAGTATAAGTTTACCAATTGAGGATCATTTATGTTGAAATCTTTGTTTTTCATTCAAGGCTCATGTTATTGTTCAAACGCTTGTGTTGATCTGTGACAGCATCTTTTTTCATGTTTAAACTCTAATTTTGTTGGAAGTTAATACAATTATGTTTATTAAATTTTTATCGACCATTTTTAAATGGTTGTGCGCGTAGGTAATTAAGGGCCCCAGTGCACTGTTTTGCCCGGGTGGGAGTTCCTAATGCTGTGTGTACACTGTAGTGTACAGTTACACTGTCTACACCACCAGTTAAAAAGAAAAACTATTTTTTTTTGTTTTTTTTTTTAAATGAAACAATCCAGATTACAAATATTTGTTCTTTTGCATCTGTAAAAATCTTTTAAATGCACGATAAACCTGCAATAAATATTTCTGAGAAAATTCTAAAAAAAAAAAAATCATCGGACGTTGTTACGTTAGGGGATTATGGAAAAGGCCACCGTATCGTTGTCTAGACTTAAAATGAGAATGGCTACCATCAGTGATAAGATATTTATCCTCAAGAGTGGACCATCGAAATATGCCAGGTATTGTCGTTTATGAAATGAAAAGAGAACACACACAAAAAAAAAACAGAAAGCTGTTTTGTTTTGCCATCTATATCTTTCTCGACTTTTCCCTCTCTATATGACGCTTGATTGTCCGTTTATTTTTTCTTGTCTTTCTCTCTCGCCTCCAAGTTTTCCCCTACCCACAGGCCCTTATTTTTCCTGTGCATGTCGGCGAATGATCACCTTGCTAAACCCCCCCCCCGTCCCAGAGGGTAGAGAACAAGAAAGAAAGAAAGATATTCTTTTACGTTTTAGATGATATCTAGTTTGGCACTAGCTATCAATATCAAGGATTTTACAAGTATGCCGCATACTGTATGCGAATGGGATAAGTACATCCAGTGGGGTGTGAAATTTAAAAAAAACAAAAACAAATAAAAAGTCTACCTCAGGTTTAGATACCGGCACTCAGGTTTGAAACCTTTTAGCAGCTGGTTCACTTCACAAATCATATTCATTTACAAAAAAAATCAATGTTAAAAAAACAGACAAGAAGTGATTCTTTTTTTTTTTTATTTTTGTTTGTGGTAAATAAATTCGTTGTCTCTCTTTGTCTTCTTTCTTCCCATAATTAGTTGTTTTTTTTCTTTTCTTTTCCCTTTTTTTTTTAATATTCATTATTTTATTTCTGAGTCTGTTTTCTCAAAATATTTTTTTCTTTTTGTTTTGTTTCGATGTCGTAGAGTGCGAATTTTTCTTTATAAAAGCTAAAAAGAAGTTTCATACCAAAAAAAAAGATACTAAAAAAGTAAACAATCATTTGCACTTTTTTTTTTAGGGGAAAAATACTATAGTCTTGTGACCACTTTTTCTTGTCACATAAAAAACGTCAAAAGCCCGTAGGTGGGAAATCTTTTTCGACTCTTAATAAACGTAAAAAAGTACTTTCTGTTTAGTGTTTACGTTTAAAAAGACTTAAATAAAAGATGATGGTTACTGTTATTGTTAAGTTACGTTAAGAGCTTGTTTGTAGCTACAAGCAATAATAATTTTAAAAAGGGCCCATTAAGGGGTTTGATACTATTTTTTTTTTTTTTTTTTTTAAATTATTTATTTTTTTAAATTTATTTTAAAAGGGTCTTCTTATCAAAACTCCTCTGCATTCACTAGGCTGTTGAATTTTTTTTAGTTATCCCAAAATAAACAAGAAATTAGTCAGCACCCGAAAAAATAAGCTGGTCCTGGGCCCAAGGAATCAACAAAATCACACAAAAAAAACATAATTTCTCCTTTACATGTTGAAAATTTCAATGAAAATAAAAGAAAGGCATACTCTGTCATGATTGTCATCTGTTTTCATTTTGAAATATACTTTTATTTACTTGTTACTGAATTTGATAAACTAAAAAAAAAAGGAAAGAAAACGGAAAAGTGGGTTAAAATTGATTAGATTACTAGATATAATAATCGTTATTGTCAATACTGGCCCTTATGGACATCCGTATGTGCGAAATTAGGGATCTATTCCACTTGTTTTTGTGGCTACTGGATTATTTAGTCTCTCAGAGTATGTATGTGATTGTGTAATTTATGTATATGTTTTTCATATTTCGCGCTATAATCATTCGTTGACAAAAAAAGGAAAAAATAACTATAATTTCGTTAATAAATTCGTTTCGAATTGATTTTGGCGGTCTTTCTTTTTTTGAGTTGCATGGAATCTATATTTATCGATGTCAACCTCAGAGAATGGCGGCATAAAAAATACGGAATTCCAAAATGGATACTGGGTGTGAAAAATTTTGGTAAAATAGCGCTAATTTTTTTTGTTTTTTGTTTTTACTAAATTAACATTAAAAAAATGTCTTAAAACGTTTTATTTAAATATTTTTAAAGACTAGTGAATTTACCTTTTTTTTTTCTTTTTTTTTTTTGTAATTAAAAAGAAAACTCATATTTTATCACTTTTAGTTTTTTTTTATAATGCCATCATGTCATTTCGGGATGTAGGCGATCATAGTCCTCCACATATTTTTTTCTTTATTAATTGTAATTTGCTGTATATTTATGAAAAATAGTGAAGTGGATTTTTTTCTCAGTTGCCTTCTTCACGGTTAAGAAAGAGATGGATTCACGCATCCTAAAAGTAAAAACGCAACAGACTAACTTGGTATTTGAACAAGAATAATAGCGATTCCACTTTCTTTCATTCATTCATGTTTGTAATCATTAACAAACATGTATTGTAGTGACATTTTAAGCTTAAAGTGAATTTCACTGGAATCTATATTCTTAATTCTCAATCATAAGAAATAAACATTAAATAATTCAAAACTTTCATTCACTCCAAATAATTATTACAAGCATTACTGATAGAATACAGCTATTAATACATTGCAAATGAAGTCTGGGATTATCAGTGGTCAGGAATAAACCAAGCTTTACTGATAGAATAGGGCTATTATATAAATATATAAACATTTACTGTATATGAAATGAGGCAAAAGGTTTGTCAAATGAATTCAAATTACTGATAAAATAGGACTATTACATGATTAATATATAAACATTTACTATAGAAATGTATGGTGATGAAAAAAAGGAATGGTCAAACAAACATTACTGATAGAATAGTGGTATTATGTCTATAATATAGATATATTTCATAAGAAATACATTAGCGTGCAAGAAGTAAAGCATTGTCAACAGTTATAAATTTATTCAAATGTCATTGACATTAAAAGGCTAGCATATGTATAATACTTTTTCAAAATGAACGGTTTTAACTTCAATATTATATAATTGACAATTATAGAATGAATTTGATTTGCTTATACTTGCATTGTATTGATTCTTTATTCTAAGGATATTCTCCAATTTCTCTGTTTGTAGGTCATTCTATGGCAGGATGCCTACTTCAGTCTTTGCTTCATTCATCATACAAACCTAAGATCCAGGGGAGGTCATGAACCCACTGTCAGAAACTCCAACACCTCCACAGAGATCGACAACAGCACCGCAGCAACCACCCTCAACCTCAAACCTGCTCTTATCTCTTGACCTTTCCAAGACCCTACACCAGCCTGTAGAGCCCCGCCCAAATTGCTGCGACATCTGTGGACGCTACTTCAGCCGTTATGATAATCTGGAACGGCATCGGCGCACCCACCTCAATCAGAAGCTGTTTGACTGCGAAGATTGTGGTAAGAGTTTTTCGCAAAAATCCCACCTCAAAGAGCACAGCACCGTGCATACAGGCGAGCACCCATACAAGTGTCATGTTTGTGGATATGCCTTCTCTAGAAAGGGTAATTTATCAAGACACATGAAAACTCATGAAGAACAACCCACTCTGTCTACTTCATCGGTTATCACTACAGCAACCCTGCTTAGGAAAGTAACATCGAGTATCAGTGAAAGTAGTAACAATGTCCTCGGACCGACCTTGGATGTCCAAGAACCTGAAGAAGTCGATGCTTTGGCTGAAGAGCCTGATTCCTTAGGTGTGGACAGCAGTAGTAAATCAATTATATCTGCATTTTCTCGTCACCACAGACGGCAGCATGGGGACAACACCCTGGATATTAATTCTGATAACCCATTTGGGTGTAAAGCTTGTTGGAAAGCTTTCTCACAGGGCTCCTACAACAGCCGTAATAAAGTTCACCAACGCATTCATTCAGCTCTGAAACCATACAAATGTGACCTTTGCCCCAAGTCCTTTTCCCAAAGGTCGCACCTGAAAGTGCATCGCAGGATCCATACAGGTGAGAAACCATTCAGTTGCCCCACCTGTGCATTTACATTCTCTAGAAATGACCACTTGGAACGGCACATGCGCACTCATCACGGACAGAAAACATATCGTGTTCTCGGTAGCAGTAACCGTGGCAACACTGGCGGCAGCGATAACCAGTGTGACCCTCATTCAGAAGATGCACCAAATGCAAACAATGACGAAGAAATGCAGCCATCAACCTGTGGATGCGTAGAGAGCAACTGTAGTTGCTGTTGCAATAACAGCTGCGACCACAATACGAAAGAAAGTAAATGCAACTCTGAAAGTAGCAACATACAAGCTGATCTTGGCAACCATGGTAGCAATTCCAATAATAACAACAATCATCAAAAAGCCACAACCCAAAATGGACATCTAGATAGCAACAGCGAGGACAACTGCGAAAGCAGCAAGCCCCTAGACTGTTCACTCTGCTTCAGAGCTTTCTCTAAGAGATCCCATGAGTCAATGCATAAGCAAATACATCAAGCTGTACTGCCATACAAGTGTAATGTTTGTGGTAAGGCATTCCCGCAGAATGGGAACCTCACTCGACATAAGAGAACCCACGTAGGGGAGAAGAGGTTCAAATGTGACATCTGTGGCAAGGCGTTCTCGCAGAGGTCACACGTCAAAGTACACCAGCTAATTCACATTGGGAATCGTCCTTATAAATGCAATGACTGTGGCTATGCCTTCCGACGACCAGATCACCTCCTGCGGCATAAGCAGGCAAATGCTGGAAACACAAGACTGAGCTGTGTTTCCCGTCAAGCTGAGGAAACACAGAATAGTGACAGTGAAGTAAAAGGACACAGAGAAAAATGCAGCATGCAAACAGAACCTCAGTTAAGAACCTCTGAACAGGCTGACAGTAGAGAAATCGAAGGACCACTTCAAAACCCGTTAAACCTGGTACAACCAGTCCCACTAAATTTACATTCTCCACCAGTGGACATCCCATACTATAACACTGATTCAGTTGCTGCCACACTGGTTAACATTCAGCCGAACCAAGCAAGTGTTGCTAATCCTACAAGTCTGCCATTTGGGGTCAGTCATTACCATACTCGCCTACCACCAAATTTCACCCTTTCTCATCATAGCCTACCACAGACTTCAGCCCTTCCTCCACACTTGAACATTGCCCTTCAACCAAGACTAACCCACACTAATGCAGGTTTCAAAATTTAAATCAAACATCCAAGTTCTTAAAAACCAAAGCTGCTATAAAATGCATCATAATTATTAAATATGTTAAAACTTTCATTCACTCTAATGATTACATATAGGGTGCCCCAGCAAATACTAAAACCATCTCTTGAAATGCATTGGAAATTATTTTACTATAAAAATGCATGGAAAATTATTTATTATAGGAATGCATTACAATTATTAAATGTATTAAAACTTTCATTCACTCAAATGATTTCATATAAAATGACACAGCAAATACTAAAATCATCTACTAAGATTCATTGCCAAATATTTGACTGAAGCAAATTATCTCAATGCTTAAATGAAATGTTAAATGCTAAAAATTTATTCCCAGAACTTCAAACACTCAATCTTTATGTAATGTATTGAAATTAATGAAAAAAGTAATTTTATATCAGTAGAAGTGTTACTATGAAAAGGGATTGTTAGTAGTCAGGAGTTAATCCAATTATTACTAATAGAATAGGGTTAATATATGTATAATATATGAACATTTACTATAGAAATATATTGCAAATGAGGCCAAAGGAATTGCCAGTGGTCAGGAATTAATTCAAGCATTACTGATAGAATAGGGCTATTATATGTATAATATATGAACATTTACTATAGAAATGCATTGCAAATGAGGCCAAAGGGATTGTCAGTGGTCAGGAATTAAATGACAAGACCCAAGACAAAACAACTGATGCTAAAACAGATCACAGGGAGAGTTGAGTTCATTCATTTTTCAAGAGTGTTAGTGTGAAAGTGACATGAGGTTCCTCACAATGGAGCTGAGCAAGTGTGTCACATAAACCATTACTATTGATGTGAGTTCAGATTTCACAAGATACTGCATATTTCAGACTAAATTAGGCTTTATAGGAAATATCTGATTAATAAAAATGACTATATTCAAAGTTTCAAAATATACAGTTTACTCAATGACCTAAATACTAGAAATACAAAAAGAATTTCCTAGTTTTGCAATTGGAATTTTTTTGATGACTCATGACTCTTAAGTTAATGATTGGATAAGCTCCTTGCGAGTTTTTCTCTTGCATCGTTAGATATTTGAGCTTAACAACTTTAACCAAATATTGCAACAACAATTGTAAGTATGAATGTAGGTCATTATTTAAAGGAGGAGGATACAAATGAAAATATTCATTATTGACAAGGTTTTTCATTTCACTGAAGCAGAACAGAAACACATGAGAGCATTATTATTATCTTAGTGCTTCCGCTATCTTCTTTTTCATTTTTTAACAGCATTCCTGATATGTTTTTTCCATCTTTCTTTGCAATCAAAACAGAATACTCCATTTTTTTTATGAAGTATTGGCAGGGCGTAACGGTCATACTAACTACAGAACAATCAGAATTATAATAGGATTTAAAATCTTACTCTTTTGACTTTAAATATGAAAATGATTTTGACATTAAATGACCCATAAAGGATTGATATGCTGTAAAACTGATCAAATTAGTCTTGCCTATGGCTAAGATAGTTGCATAATTTCTTATTAGTCCAAGAAGTCAGTGTTCAATCCCTGGTAAAAGCTAGGATTTTGAATGCTGATATTCTAGATTAGATAGTCCTGACTCCAATCTTTCTAGCCCCATTTCCTGTTCCCTAACCAGCTTTGTACCATATTAAGCTAAGATTCATAAAGATATACTGATTATACTGATATCTGCAACCTAAACAGAAACTTGAATTCAGTTCACTTATATCTGTTTTGGGTCTGACTTAACTGCTAATATGAGTGGGGAAACTACTTTCATACAATTTCTATTCTTAGAGAAAAAGCAAAAAAAACTTAGGTGGATTGATTTAAAATATTCACCCAAAGAGGATTAAACACACTACTCAGTAGTAATGGTCATCCAAACAAGCCTCACTAAACATTGTACAATTATTACTTGTTAGGTTGTGAAATTGTATATGTATACCCAATGCAGATTGCGGGGTGGTAGCACCTGTTAGGGTTCCAGCTATGGGCAAATAGTTAACTATTACCAGCAATACTTTTTTGCAAAAGAAAAAAATTATTACCAGCAATATAATTTTGAAGGAAAAATATTACCAGAAACATATTTTTGACAAAACAAAATATTACCAGCAATAAAAATTTTGCCAGCATTAAATAACCCATTGAGGTTGATATGCCGTAAAACAAAATAAACCAAACCAAACCCAATGCAGATCAAACTCACTACTCAGTAACAGCGATCATCCAGACTAGTCTCACTATAAATTGTTTAATTCTTATGGCATTTTTGGGTTATGCAATATCAAATTGTGTATGGAGTACCCAATGAGAATCAAACTCACTAGCAATGGCTATAATGACAAGCCTTACTAAGCATTGTTTGATTATTATGACATGCCAACTTTTCAGAGCTGAATTAACCATTAAGCAAAATAAAAACTTATTTAGGGCATCAAGGGGAGGGGGCACCACAGAAATTGTTATGCTATGACATTGATGTACACGTCTAAAGAAATGTCAAACATGATTAACATTTGATTCTGCCAGGTGCTATTATGAATGGAGAGACAACTGACCCACAGTGAATCTTTATTACAATTCTAACTGGTTAATAAGGTAAGGGCTAAGGGAGATAATGAGGTTTGTATTTACTCAATGCATCACAACTCTCTTGAATAAGTTAATATTACTAGTTAACTTTATGGGATTTAATTTTTGTGAACAATCGCAGGGATAGACTACCCTCATGTTCTTTTGGCAGGATTCTAACCATATCCTTATGTGATTCTGTAACATGCTGGTTTGTTGATTACATGACCATTTCTGTTTGAATTTGGCCATGGCTCATTTGACAGTGGCTGCTCAGCTGCAATTGGTTCTTTCTGGCTGGGTCCCCAGGGTATTGGTATTGTTTGGGGTTGGAAATGATGACCAGCCTCTCTCAATGCTCGTATGTGCCTTTGGTTCTGTCTATATATATTTACAGCTGGCATTTCCACAATATATGTTCTTGAATGATGTCTTTTTTTTTCTTTTTTTTTTTTTTTTTGCACTACTCATCGAGAATCCATGCTAGCATACTTAACTCACAGATGTATAGGGGAGCAAAAATCTTTTAATTGCTTAGGGCCTCTATGGATCTTAATCCAGCCTTGCAACCTTTGCTGGCTTATGTAATGTCAAATTGTGTGTAGTACCTAATTTGGATCAAACTCACTACCCAATAGTAATGGCCAGCTAGACATGCCTCATTAAACATTGTTTGGTTCTTATGACATTGTTGGGTTTTGTAATGTCAAATTGGGTATGGGGTACTCAATGAGGATCGAATTCACTCCCCATTTGTAATGATCATCCAGACAAGCCTCACTAAACACTGATTATTATGACACACCAAGATTTGTTGGGTCATGTAATGTTAAATTGTGTATGGGGTACCCAATGAGGATCAAAGTTAGAAATCAGTAGGAATGGTTAACTACACAAGCATCACTAAATATTGTTTTATTATTATGACATCTCAACCCTTGTTGGGTTATTTAATATCAAATTATGTATGGGGTACCCAATGAGGATCAAAGTCATTAGTAATGGTCAAACACACTAGACTCTCTAATCATAACCCAATGCCAAACTGCCTATTTAGTTAAGTTGGTTGATTTTATGACCTGTGAAGCCTTGTTGGATTATCAAATGGTGAATTTCGTAGGGACCACCCAGTAAGGATCAAACTCTCTACTCAGTTTGTAATGTTCAACCATACTAGTCTTGCTATACATTACCTTTTGCTGAGGTGGTGAAAACAAATTATTTACCTTATGCATTCAATAAATTGTGTGGAAATTAACATCCAGACTTAAGGTGGATGAAGAAAGATGAAAGAAAACTAATGATACATATGTTATACAATGATTAATTTAGACGAATTTCTTTATCAATCATTTTTGTCAAAACATTTCAGCTGCAGTACTTTGTGGCTTTCTTCAGTCATTTTGCATTTGTTTAACTTATCTAAGATCATCCAATAGAACTTGTGTTGTGGTCATTCTTTACTGTTACATTCGATATTCTTCCAAGGAAATTTCAGAATCTGCCACTGTCAGTATTTCCTTATGATGCCAGTCTGTCTCTCTACTGTGAGCTGGTAGGGATTCAGGTACTACCAAACCCAGAGATTGAACCCACAACTTCTGCTAAACCAGTTAAGCTTTCTTCCAAAAGTTCTGCATCATTGATCCTTGTGTAATGTTTCCATACCTACAGGGATAAATAAAACATGAGTGGCAAATGTCAGTGGTTATTCCCCCTTAAATATGTAGTCATGTGACTAATGTAGAATCATCGGTGTTGAATTAAAAAAAGAAAAAAAAACTCTTTTCTCTGGGACAATTTCCTCACAGATGAAGAAAAAAATTGACACAACAGAGATGTGGTTCCACAGAAGGATGCTGAGAATACCAAAGACTGAACATATGACCAATGAGGACGTTTTGTAGGAAATATTAGATCAAGCTTCAAGAGGGCATCCCCCCAGGTACTACTTATCCTTTGGAAGGAGTCTGGGGTCATTACCCAGGTTCCCCACAAGGGGGAAGTGTTGAAGTGGCTTGAGTAATTTTTCCACAGTATTTCTGGTAAACCCACTTTAAACCACAACCTTGTGTCACATTCATTAGCAACGTGGGTACCCTGAAAAATACCTATATTTATATCTCCATGTATCTCTTGTTCATTGATTTATTTATCATTTTTTTTTTTTTTTTTTTTTACTCCTTTTAATCATTTCTCCCTCCAAAACATTTTTTTTCTTTTTCATCCCGGTGTTTTTATTAATTATTTTTAATTTTTAAAACAATGTTAACCACAAGACATGCATGTCACTATTCAAATATTTACAAATAAACTGAAAATCAACTGCTAATCTTATGATTTTTTTTTTATATTGTTATTTAATGTTACTTGTTTCACTGGAATCATCATCTGATATTGTTTTTCTCT